GTAATTCTCATCTGCTGCCAGGTCCGTCCCTCACCTCAGCTGAGCCTTTGAGAATCACTTATTTGCGTCGCGGATCTAGTACATCTCAAATGTTAGCTAAAACCCCATTCCTTTCGGTAGTCGTGTCTCACGGAAGTCTTCACAAATAGTTAAGATTTGCTGCTGAAACACACACACACAAATGCAGTGCTTTCCTTAAGAGATTTTGCCTATTTTTACCAAATCTTAACTGCCTTCCTCCTCCATTACTCTTGATTTATGAGCTCTGCAGAAAACTGGCACTCCACTTGAGCCTGGATTGTCTTCTCAGCCACAGGGCAAGTCAAGTCAGCTTGAATAACAGATTTAGCTAGTGATTTTGATTCTGCCCGAAGAGAAACATTTAGCAATACATAGGTCCTAGGATAGCACTTCTTTCCCAAATCCTCAAAGGTCAGCTTTATGTGCTTTTTTGGGGGCAAAAAGTCTATACTGGTTGTAAAGAATCATATTTATATTCTCAAAGTGGAATAACATTTTTTGTAGTTGACTATAAATGTAATCCATGCTTACCATAAAAAAAAAAAGCAAATATTACAAAATTATGTTAAATATAAATGAGAATTCCCCAATAATCACACCCCTCAAAGCCACTCACTTTTCATAATTTGGTGTATATCCTTTCAAACTTTTATGTATAAACAGATTTTTATACAGGTTTTTAACTTAAAAGGAATCATTACTGACTGTTCTATAACCTGCTGTAAGGGGAAAACACCTCCTGTGTGTCTCCTCTATTCTCAGAACCCACACTGAACAGTTCTGTGACCAGAGGTGTGCAAGTTTCTCCCAGACCAAGCAACTCCAGCTCTACAGCGGACACGAGCTGGTATTCTACAATTTAACTTAATTCTGACACTATCTACCTGGAGATGGCGTCAGATCCCAGAGGTTAAAGGCTCAGTCCCACACGACTGACCCCAGCCCCACTTCGAATGCCAACTCCAAGTCCAGGCTGTCACCTCTGCTTTTGATCCATTGGCTCTACATTGGAGATTCCCACAACCTTCTCCTCACGTTCAATTAATTTGCTAGAGAGGCTCATAGAACTCAGGAAAATAGTTTACTGGTTTATTATAAAGTATATAACTCAAAACAGTCAGATGGAAGCGATGCATAGAGCAAGGTACATGGAAAGGAGCACGGAGCTTCCAAGCCCTCTGTGTGTGTCAGCCTCCTAGGGCCTCCAAGTGTTCACCAACTCAGAAGCTCTGTGAACCCCACCCTTTTGGGTTTTTATGGAGGCCTTATTACGTAAGCATGATTGATTAAATCATTGGTCATTAGTGATGAACTCAATCTCCAGCCCCTCTTCCCCGCCTAGAGCTGGAAGTGGGATGGGGCTGAAAGCTCCAAACTCTGACAACCAGACCTCATCCTTACCAGCTTTCCACAAGTCACCTCATTAACATGACCTCAGGTGTGGCTGAAAAGGGTTTGTTACGAATAACAAAACACACTTTTATCTCCTATCACTTAGTAAATTCAGAGTGTTAAGAATTCTATGCCAGGAACTTGACAAACACCAAATACACATTTCTTTTTTTTTCTCCCCAAAGCGGCCCCCCCCCCCCCACATAGTTGTATATTCTTAGTTGTGGGTCCTTCTAGTTGTGGCACGTGGGACACCACCTCAGCATGGCTGATGAGCGGTGCCATGTCCACGCCCAGGATTTGAACCGACAAAACACTGGGCAGCCTGCAGCAGAGCGAGCAAACTTAACCACTTGGCCACAGGGTTGGCCCCCCAAATATACATTTCTTATTACAAATCATATTATCACACCTGCTTAATTCACTTAACATTACATCACAGGCATTCTTCCATGTCAATACTAATATTCACCTCTTTCTTTTTAATGATTGCACTGTACACTACTGCAAAAATATGCCAAAAATGTTTAAATTAATACCCTCTGTTGAACATTATTTCTAGTTTTCCAAAGTTATGAATGATGCTGCAACATATCTTTATATATACATCTGTGCATGTCTTGAGTAACCTCCTTAAAATAAAAGACTGGAAGAGAATCAGAGGTTTAAAGCTATGCTGTCCAATATGGTACTCCTAGCCACAGATGATTAAATTAACTAAAATTAAAAAATTCAGCTCCTCAGTTGTACTAGCCATATTTGCAATGTCCAACAGCCGGATGACTGTTAAAATGTGGTAGCAATGGCCAGTGACTACCGTATTGGACAGTGTAGATTTAGAACATTCCCTCATTGCAGAAGGTTCTATGGATAGCCCTGGTCTAAAGAAATGTTTATATAAAAATTTGATACCTGTATCCTATCGACATGATGGAGCAATTTAAACTCCCAATATTAGTACATAAGTACCTATGTCCCCTTCTTGTCAACATCAGATCAATGTTCTGATCTGATAGATAAGACATAATGTTTAATTTGCATCTAAAAATTATTAGTGAGGCTGAAAGTCTTTCACGTTTCTTTTGGTCATTTGTGTTTATTTATTTATTTATTTATTCATGCTGAGGAAAATACACCCTGAGCTAACATCTGTGCTAGTCTTCCTCTATTTTCTATGTGGGTCGCCGCCACAGCATAGCCACCAAGTAGTGTAGGTCGGTGCCTGGGAAGTGATCCCAAGCCACCAAAGCAGAGCATGCCAAATTTAACCACTAGGCCACGGGGCCGGCCCCTCTGTTTATTTTTTTGTTGTTGAATTATCTGAACTTTGTCTATTCTAAAAGAATCAAGTTTAAAGATATGCTGTTCCCAATGACCTATAAAGGCAAACTGTATGTGCAGAGAAGAGACATTTCTTCATCTGTTTTGCTGGTTTGCTAATAATTTCACAAAGATATTTATCAAAACAGCATAAAAATAGCTATTAACGTAGTACCACAATTAGCTAAAGGTAGCCTGCATTCTCATAGGTTGTTTCCTTACGGTGAAGTTAATGGTTTACATTATCTATAAAGCAACAATGGCTACCACTGCAGTATGTTATTTCTATGAGACATTGTTATAAATTTTCAAATTAACCTATGAAAACATATAGGTTGATTTACAAAATATAAAATAATTGAAAATGTTTATATTTTAAAAGTGATTATGTTCATATAAAAGTCTGGAACAGGAGGAAACCAACCTGTGGGATAGGAATCAGAAGAGTGGTTCCCTGGGTTGGTGGGGGTGGGGTAGAAGGAATGAGCATGAAGCACACAAAGGGAGTTTCTGGCATGATGAAAATGTTCTGTTCTTGATAGAGGCGTGAGTTACACAGGTGTGTACAGTTGTCAAAACTCACTGAACTGTACACATTAGAACTTAAACACTTCCAATGTCGATAAATTATATCTAATTTTTTAAAGGAAGGAAAAAAGTTTAAAACGTATTGTGCTATTTAGAATGTTCAATTTATAGGCAATAAAAATAATTATTTTAAATATTTATATAATGTAAAATGTGATTTCCTGGCCAGGAGACACAAAAAAAGTTTTACTAAATTGGGAATGAGGAGCAGAGTACGTAACACTTTGAACCAAACAGCTCAATTGTCAGACTGATGGCACTGTAGAAAATTCACTATGATGTCAGGGCGAAATATGTTAAGCTATCAGAAAAGCACTGCTAACATTTTAACATAGACGTTTAATCACTGTTTCTAAAAAGCCTGCACCAGTGATATGAAAGCTGAACCAAATGCTCACTTTCTGGAAAATCATCTCCCTAACGTTATCGAACAGTACTTGATTTAATTTTCTGAGCCATCTCTGCTGAGGTAGTTTATGAACTTGGCTCATTTCTGCCCTTTATTCTCCTCTTCTGGTGGCACACACGAGCACAAAAGCTAGCAAGTGCAAGTTAAAACCAAGAGATTTGATCCTGAAAATGCCTAAGCACAGACAAACAGAGGATGCTCCTCCCATCTCACACCACCTCCCCGCTCCCACTGTTACACTGCAGGTTTATTGTCTCAGCCCGTTACCAATCTATCACAATCTGTTCAGCGAGTGAGCTCCTCAGAGGCATAAGCTACAAACCTCACTCAAGTTCTCTGCAGACAAACAGATATTATGGTAGCTCTTCAGATGACCTTGCTTATGAGATCTGAAGGAAGGCTATGCGGAGGACACTAAGACTTCTGTCTCCAAAGGTGAAGGCTTGCCCAGTTAAGGATGTGGCCCAGCAGCAGAAAAGCAGAACACTGTTCATTTTATTAGCGTATCTGCTTTGCAGGAAGAGAGCTGTTTTTACTAAGTTCTTTATTATACTTTGGCTTTGGAATCAAACAGATCTGGATTTGAGAATCAGTTCTGCCACTTATTAGATGTTTGATCTTAAGCAAGTTACTTTCCCACCCTAAGCTCTGTTTTCTTATGGGGAACAGTTTATGTCCCATAGGTGTGTTAGATAAAATGAAAAGATTAAATGAAAACACAAGTAGCATTTTAAGCTCAGTGGCTGGCACATTATAGGTGCTTAACAAAGGACAGCTACTGTCATATATGATTCTGTTCCTGGAGAACGCTATGTAAATGATACAGGCCCCAGTCACTGCCCTCTGTAACCAAACCACCACCAGGATATTTTGCTAACAAAGGATTAACACAAACAGGCAGCATATTATAATTCTAACGTCTGAAAAAAAATGTTCATTACAGGAATTTCAGCAAACAACCATAGACAAAATCATTGAAAAAACGCTAACAGTTATGTATACACGTTAGAAAATAATTACACAAGATGAAGATAAGAACTCAAAGTTCACAGAACAAAATAGAAAATTCTTTGCTAAGCAGACACACTCAATGCTTCCCTGTCATGTTACTGACTTCTCTCAGATGCATTAGTGTTAAAGCAATAAGGACACAGGTGGGCAAGCTACTCTTTACTACAGATGAAGTGGTCTGTGATACAGTATCAGCCACACTTATTTACTTTAAAAAGCAGTTCATGTGACAGACCAGCAGAATAAATAAAATATTTACCTGTTTCTCTTCATCTGGCATGTTTTTTTCCAGTTCTACTAAATATTCTTCATCTAGTTCAGAGGCATTCACACCATCATCAGGTTTGTTCTCAGCCTTGTCCACTCCTGGCTCCTCCTCCTCAAATGAAGTGTTGGTGTCATGAAAGCACTCCTCTTCTTCCTGGTCCTCCTGGGGATGGGCCTCACCATCCTGGAGCAGGTGGCTCTGGGAATGGTGATCCTCAGGATTAGAAACCGAAGCGCTAGCACACTCTGCTTCCTGGGGATCTGTAACTTTCAGATCACTGAGCAGATCCTCTGGAATCCTAGAGTTTTCCGACTTCTCCCCCATGCTGAATCAGCGAGGGAGGTGAAGCTGAAGCTCTGGGAAAAGAGAAAACATGTTACTTAAGGGTGCTTATATTTAAAAAAAAAAAAAATTCTATCTGTCATACCTAAACAAACTTCTGCATCGAAGCCCAAAAGACACTCTAACTTCTTTTTATTGGAATTCATTATTAAAATAAAATAGGTTTATCATATGCCCATAAATAATGCATCATTTTAACTAACAGCCCTTTCAGAACTTCTTATAAGCGACAAAAGAGACCAATTTTTAATGTGACTCTTCCACTTTCTACTGCTCGCGTTTTGTCGGGGCAGCAAAAAACATGCAGAAGCTAAAACAATGCAAGAAAAACGAAGCTGCTCTAATCTTTATTCAGGATGAACAGCCAGGTCATAAAGAAGAAACTAGGGCCTGCCTTTCCAGTACCACCACACGAAGCTCAAGAATAAGTTTCTGGTGGAGATGAAAATGCAGGCCGTCCCAACACAGTGACCATCAACGCAGGGCCCACGTAGGTTACAGCGGAAGGAGAGCCCTGACGCAGGTGGTCCTAAACAGGAACTCCGCGGGGGTCAGAATGAGGGACTAAAAGCGCGCTTCTCAACCCTGGCTGTACAACACAACACTCGGGACGCCTAGCAAGTACTGCTGCCCAGATCTTATCCTCCACAGATTCTGATTTACTGGCCTGGAGTCGGCCCAGGGCATCTGCATTTTTAAAAAGGCATCTTAGGTGATTCTAATCAGTCAATTGAGAACCACCGCTGGAGAAGCTGAGTCAGACGAGCAGCAGCCCCGCCCTTCTGGTCGCAGCAAAATCACGCCAACGACTCTTGTGTCGCGACACGAGCCCGAACTCGCCCCAGCTCCTCCCAAGAAAACTTAAAAATACCAAGATCTTAATACGGAGATTTCGCTTCTACAGCAATGTTTTGTTTTCCCCACGCCCAGATCTAGTAGAAGAACGCAGGAGTTTGAGGCCCAGGGTTAAGGAGGGCCACCCCGCTCTTGCCAAGAGTTTGTCCTCTAGCTGCGTCCCTCACCGCCAACGGGACAAACCCAGGTGGCTACTCACAGCTTCACGGCTCCTTTCGTCTTCACCTTTCTAGCCCGTGAGATCCTCTACTTCCGCTCGGTCAAGTGCACTTCCGTCGGCGCAGACTAATGGCGTCGCTGTTGGCGAAGCATCCTGGGAAATGTAGTGGAATCCTCAGGGAGGCAGGACATCGCTGTCGCTATGTGACATCATTGTACTGAATGAAACTTGAGTGACGGTTGCCATCTTGGGTTACGGCGAGACTGCGTTACTCAGCACAGGAGAAAAAAGGAAAAGAGAAAGGCTGTTTCTATGGTGTTTCTTTTACTCCTTCACTCTGATCTCTCTCATGCTACCAACGTACAGGGGAATCCTGAAGCATCAACCTTGTCCAAAAATGGTACTCAAAGTGTATCTTTCAAGGAGTCCACCGCTATATCAAAATCGTTTTCATAATACTACTAAGCTGCTATTTGCCTTTTCCGTACTCCTTCTGTCATGAATGTACAGCGGAGTTTTCCAGAGGCTGTCATTCAATGCACTGAGTGCAGAAGGAGTTATAAGAATCTAACTGTCTTCTATTAAGCTAGAGAGTTGCACAACTGTGGAACAATGCCACACTTCTTATTTATATTTTTCGTTTTGGAAAATATAGTTATTATTTATAAAAAGATTATTTATCTTACCATATAATGGGTGTATTATTATCTTAAAGGAATTAATAAATAAATATTAAAAATTTTTCAGTTCTACTTTTTTTTTTTTTTGAGGAAGATCAGCCCTGAGCTAACTACTACCAGTCCTCTTTTTTTGCTGAGGAAGCCTGGCCCTGCGCTAACATCCGTTCCCATCTTCCTCTACTTTACATGTGGGACGCCTGCCCCAGCATGGCTTGCCAAGCAGTGCCATGTCCGCACCTGGGATCCAAACCGGCGAACCCTGGGCCGCCCAAGCAGAACATGCGAACTTAACGGCTGCGCCACCCGGCTGGCCCCAGTTCTACTTTCTAATATAGTAAATATTGATAGGTATGACTTGCATAAACAAAAGCTTTTTGTGGTCCTCAAAAATCTTTAAGAGTGTTAAGGGGTCCTGGAACCAAAAGCGAACTGTTGCCCTGTACATTAATTCAAGAAATGTTTATTGAATGTTTATCAACCCCAGACATTGCACTGGAAATACAGAATTCAGATATCCCGTAAGGTTGCCAGACAGGTGACCAGCAAGGACAGCAGAGTACTAGTTAATTTTCGGTAATTCACAGAACCTATTGCAGAGATAGCTAAGAAAGACTTTTTCAGAAAAGTTATCAAACTTGTTTTTTGAATTTTTGTCTGAATGACGTTATACCTACTGTTGTATTTTTGTGTAAGTCAAGAGCTTTCATATACTAAAAGTAACCATTAAAAATATATCAGAATTTTTTCCGGCTGGCCTGGTGGCGTAGCAGTTAAGTGCGCAGGTTCCGCTTCAGTGGCCCGGGGTTTGTCGATTTGGATCCCGGGTGCGGATGTGGCAGCGCTTGGCACTCCATGCTGTGGTTAGGCATCCCACATAGAAAGTAGAGGAAGATGGGCACGGATGTTAGCTCAGGGCCAGTCTTCCTCAGCAAAAAGAGGAGGACTGGCAGTAGTTAGCTCAGGGCTAATCTTCCTCAAAAAAAAAAAAATCAGAATTTTTGAAACCCTTTAATATTTCTTAATTTTTTAAATACAGCAAGAACTTCAAAAATGTAAGTGGTTAGGCCTCTTATGACCTTTAACAAATCCTTTTAATTAAATTTCAGTGTAATAGAAAGGGTGTGAATTTTGAAGCAAATTAAATAAGTAAGTAAGTAAATAAAATGAACTTGAGTTACAAAGACAGCTTTTTTACTTTACAGCTGTCCAACTTTGGACGGTAATTCTAGTAGCTAACATTTGTTGATTGTGTGCTTATTAGGTGCCACATGCTGTGAAACATGCTTTAGGTGGATTATTAGATTTTTTTTTTTTTGAGGAAGATTAGCCCTGAGCTAACTACTGCCAATCCTCCTCTTTTTGCTGAGGAAGACTGGCCCTGAGCTAACATCCGTGCCCATCTTCCTCTACTTTCTATGTGGGATGTCTACTACAGCATGGTGTGCCAATCGGTGCCACGTCCGTACCCGGGATCTGAACTGGCAAACCCCGGGCCGCTGAAGCGGAATGTGTGAACTTAACCACTGCGCCACCTGACTGGCCCCTATTAGACTATTTGAATTCTATTTCTGGCTCTCCCACTTGACTAGCTTTGTGACTTTGGGGCAAATTACTTAATGCTTCTAAGCTTTAATATATAAATTTACTTCATACTTAAAAATTGGCATGGATAACAATGGTACCTCCTTCTTAAGTTTCTTGGGAGAAAGAAATGAGGTAATCTAGAAGAAAAGGAGCACAGGATTTGGCACATAGTGTTTAATGAATGTTAGAGACAATAATAATATGTGACAGGCCTTGTGACAGTAGCTGGGTACAGGAAACCTACTAAGACACAGTTCCTGTCCTCCCCATCCCCAGGAGCTCACTATGCTGAGGATTATTTTGGGCTGGTTACTTTTAAAAACTGCAGATAGGAAGGAGGCTCTGAAGAGTGGAATTTGCTTGCCCTTTGATGAGAGACATTTACATTTATAAGGGAGATCTCCATCTGTGGTGGTGTCTCCCTCTCTGCACCGGGAGGAAGGGGGGATGACCTTATCTCTAGAAACTCTTGGTGGGGAAGCATAGGACATCGTGACTTAATCTGATCTGATTCTCATCTAAAGTTACAGGACCATCCAATAACCAGACCCCACCTGCACTGATACCATTTTAATGACTTTTTTTTTACATATTCTTTCCTTTGTTTGTAAAGAGATAACTCACATACCTATGCCTTAAATTTAGCCCAACCCTCAACCCATGGCAGCAGCTCTTTACTGCCCATGGGTCCTGTCCGCTTGCTAGTCTCTAAATAAAAGAGCATTACTGCCAGACTTTGAGTCCAAGAAATCTTTCTTTAGACTCCTCGACTCACCGACCCCATACCAACTAGAGGGGGGAAAGGAGGAGGGATAAAGACATTATTGAGCCTAAAGGAAGAAGCAATCTGCCCTTTTCTTTTTACAACAAGACGAACCAACATCCAATCAGTCCAATTTGGTAGGTCTTCACTAATAAGATATTTGGGTTAGGCTGTTGAAAGAGGAATAGTTCATTTGAAGGAAAAAAACAGGAGAGGCTGAAGGACATCTTAAAAATATCAGGAGCATTTGGGGAATAAGTAGTGGGATATTATTGAAGGATGGAGCATGAAGCAAGAGACAGTTTTACAGACAGAAGCTGCCAATCAGTTCCCAGAACCACGAAGATGGTCTCATAGTGCTTACAACTGCTCTGTAAAAGGAAAAGAAATGTTTTCCATCTAGAGGGCAGTTCTGTTGTTATTTTCCCAGGGCAGAGACCACGTCTGTCTTGTTTACAGTCGTAAGCAGTCAGTGGACATCCTGTTATCACGTGGGTGAAAGATCCTCTTTCAGGAATTTATGGCCAAAACACTGGGTAACTCAGTGCTCTGATGGGTTGAGTAAAGAGGTTTTGAGACTTCTGGAATGACCTTACAGGACTGTTGTAAGAATTAAATGATGTCATTTCTTATCTAAAACACAGAAATTGAAGTGCTCAAGATATAAAAAAAAAACTTCAATATTAACAGCACTTAGCACAATAAGTACTTAATAAATGTTTGTTGTTATTGTTATTATTATTAAAGAAGATCTCACAGTATTATCACTATTATGATCAATTACTAATAGTAATAATAATTTGATTATTACTTGTTATTAATAATCAATAATATTATTAATAATGATAAATATTTGTGAAGATTTCCTTCACACCCTCTGGACAGGGGACTGAGGTCCTAAGTTTGTTGAAAGAACAGAAACTGAACATGAATAAATGAA